TGACCAATAGATTTGAACTGTCTGTTGGAGCTTGATGTGTTCTCCTGTGGTCACAAAGGCAGTAATTCATCTCCCTCTCTATGAGTCAGACTATAAACAGACTAGACCACAAGCAGTGGCTTTAGACCACAGAGGTGCGGTCATCACATGTAGTAGAGAAATGTGGAGCTGTGATCTTCTGCATCCTTTGGCTGACGGCCCCTCCGTGCTGCCTGCCGTTCTTATGTCATCTCTCTTTGGCTCTCTCCTCTCACCTCACTTTTTCCTTACAAGGATCTTTGAGATTGATTATGTTGTCCTCACTTCAGTAAGCCAGGGCAGCTGCGCTTCTTTCACATCCGTTGTTTACTCACACGGGAAAATGTGCGTTTGCTGTGTGTGGTTTCATTGCTAGAACACAGGCATCATTTGGTACTGATGGCACGGGCGTTGCTCTGCACACTGCAGTGGTTTTCTTGGCCTTCAGTCTTCCGTAGTCTAATTGATTTCCATGAAACTGAAGGTTGACTTTTATCCACATACTGTCTGCTCTATTATCCATTCCCTATGGCTTTAGTTTAAGTGTTTGCTAATTACTGTCTCACAGACGGTGGCTAGCATGGCACATTCCTGTCTGTGTTGCTGAGATCAGTGACTTTTATCGATCTGTTTCCATCTTCAGTGACCTGTTCCTTCCTGTAGGATACAATTTGTTACTGATCTTTACTGTGAGATCATTTCATTTTTTTCTTTCTTAATGGATCAGTGTCTTCTTTGTATGTCAAGTTCCATTGATTATCTACCAAGTAGATGATTTATCGAATGTAACCTAAATTTTGTTTTATTGTTAGCTAGTACATACTGTTTTAACTTTGCCTTTTTCAATTCTTCCTTTTCTAGATACAAAACATGTCTGCTATAAATGACGAATACTAACAGTTGAGAGTTAAAAATATCAGCAGCATGTGTTTCTTCCCAGATTTATTCATATCTACCGTATCCCATTTCTCAGGAAATATTGCTGATTCTGTCACTATTTTAACTTTCAGGATATTACAGTTTTAAGGTAGCAATTATTTCTTCAAGTAGATTTAAAACATAGAGGTTTTTCTATAAATTGGACCATAGATCCTCAGGTTAATTTCTTTCTAAGACTATGAAATATATCAGGCATTATTTTTCCTTTTTCTTCTTCTTTGTCCTGTTATGACCTTAGTAATAACCTGTTAGTACTGGTTAGAATCTATATCTATTGAACAACAAAAAAAGGCACATACACAAAATTACTCTCAGGGGGAAAGGGTACTTGGATTTTTCAAAGTCTTGTCATTAAAAGGAGATTTACAAACACAATACAAGTAAGATTATTAGTGGATTTTAGCTCTCTTATACAATGACCAGAAGGAGAGTTTCCAGATAAACTCCCCACCTTTCCTAAATTACCCCACTTTTCTTTGACGACAACAATTGGACATTAATACCATGGCAGATAGAGAGAAAGAAGGAGCCATGATTCTAGATGTGGGGACGTTGTATTTGAAAACATGATATTGTTGAATTATAGGCATAACCTAGAATCACAAAATACTAGCACTGAAAGAGATTATATCAATAACCCCAAATCATTCATTTATTCATTTATTTATTTATTTATTTATTTATTTTTGATTTTCGAGACAGGGTTTCTCCGTAGCTTTTTTTTTTTTTTTTTTTTTTGGTTCCTGTCCTGGAACTAGCTCTTGTAGACCAGGCTGGCCTCGAACTCACAGAGATCTGCCTGCCTCTGCCTCCCGAGTGCTGGGATTAAAGGCGTGTGTTACCACGGCCCGGCTCCCAAATCATTTCTCAACTGAGGAAAGGGAGGTGGGTTTAGTTCCTCTCGAAGTAGTTAATTATATGGAAACTCACTGGGGAAGTACCTCTGCCACTGTTGCTGCTTAGACTTCTTCATTATCTAGTGCAGTGGAAATTTCCAGCATGCTGATGTTCACTTTAGTTCTTGATGAAATTGGGGAGGAGCAATAAAAATTAATGACATAGTCTTATGGAAAGAGAATTATTGTTAAAGCTCATGCGGGACATTGAAACATGGTTAATAAAAACTCAGAAAAAGCATGGGATAAAACCGGACTCGCTGAACATAGCGGACAATGAGGACTACTGAGAACTCAAGAACAATGGCAGTGGGTTTTTGATCCCCATGTCCTGGCTTTGTGGGAGCCTAGGCAGTTTGGATGCTCACCTTACTAGACCTGGATGGAGGTGGGTGGTCCTTGGACTTCCCACAGGGCAGGGAACCCTGATTGCTCTTTGGGCTGACGAGGGAGAGGGACATGATTGGGGGAGGGGAGGGAAATGGGAGGCAGTGGCAGGGAGGAGGCAGAAATCTTTAATAAATAAATAAATAAAATAAAATAAAAACTCAGAGAGAGAGAAATTGGGGTTCAACCTGAAGATCTGAAAAGTAAAACAGCCAGCCACTGGCCCTTACCTTGACCTCAGTCGGAAAATGGTAATTCTGCCTCCAGGAATCTCATAATGAGACTGTCTGTTGAGAACAATTTCCTCCCATTTTATAATCCTCTCTAGGGATGGGATTAAAGGCATGAACAACAGTCATTAAAGGCATGCACCGCCCAGTTTCTATGGCAACTAGTGTGGCTACTGGAATTAAAGGTGCATGTCACCATGGCTACTGCGATTAAAGGTGTGTATTCTCATAATCTGGCCTGTAAGGCTGGCCAGCGGGACTGTTTTACTCTCTGATCTTCAGGCAGTCTTTATTTACTAAAGCACAATTGTGAACTAAGTGATCATGATGTCACTACTAGTTGTCTAGGTGGAATTTCTTCCTTCTTGACTCACGTAGTGCATTGGAGAGGGAGAAACTTGTATTGTTAGTTTCTCTGAGGCTATTGAAGCACAGAAGGTTGATTAGAGGATGCTAGAAGAACCCATAAGAGGACAGCCTGTAGATGACCTGCTCAGAAGTCACCAGCTGCACCGAGTCCCTGTCTCTCCAGATGCTGGAAAGAGAGTGGGATTAAACGGGGTGGCTTGAGTCCTAAGGAGCCAAGGGCATAAGACATAAGATAATCGTTAGAACTCTGGAGACAAGGCCATCTGAAAAGCCTGTTGATTGTCTTTATCCTGAGAGTTGTAAAGTAGGAAGCAGTATTTTGAAAGGGAGTTACTTATTCCATGAGAAGTGGGCCTGTTGCTGCGGCTGTTTGTGTGAGTCAAAGAGTGAGAGGTGTCTTGGGAATGGAAGCACAGAGGAGGAATAGCCACTGCTGGAGAGGATGCTTCAAAAAGAGAGAGGGGCTCAGTTATTGTGGAAAAATGTCTTGGATAGTTGGCCTTCAAAGGAAGGTTTATTTTGGCTCACAGTTCAGTCGGTGGTCACTTGGGCATTGCATTTGGGCTTATACCAAGACAGCACATAATGGTGGGGGCACGTCATAGGAAGGGCAAACTAGAAGGGGGTAGGGTCTTGATATCCCCCTCAAAGACATGACATCAGTTGTCTAACTTACTCCCACAAAGCTCCACTCCTTAAAGATTCTGCTATTTTTATTATTGGAGGATAATGGCATGGGCTGGAAAACACACATTTAACACATCTGATTTCAGAGGGCATTCAAGATCCAAACAGTGGGCCTGAGTGTGGTGGCCCAGGTCTGAAATACCAGCCCTATACAGGCTGAAGTAGGAGGAGTGAGGCTCCATGTTCAGAACTAGCTGCACAGCAGCATCTTCCGATAAAAAGAAACGATAGCAATGTCATCATCAGCAACAACAACACTCCAAGCTATGGAAGAGGGAATAAATACTTCACTTTCTCTTTCAGATTGGGAATTTTTATGTTTCTTTTTTTATTTCTTCTTTGTCTATGATATGGCATATTATATTGATTATATTTTTCTATATGTCCTGAGAATTATTCCCAACACCTTTGGCTAAATTATTCATCATTTGCTCAATAGGCTATGTTATTTCGTCCATAGGTCATGTCCTCATTGCCCCTCCTTTACTCAACAGGCTATAGTGTTACATCCATAGTCGTGTCCTGAGAACGATGAACATGTTTTTCCCAGAATCTTTTTATTTACCATCTCTGTGGATGTACGAACACCAGTATTTTCATCACATGTTTTAAAAAAAATATTTTGACTCTGTCTATAATAAGGATAGTAAAATATCCATTGGTTCTTTATAATCTTTCACATCATTCTAATTATATTTGAGGGTTTATTTTTCAAAATTTGTTACAGAGTTGATTTCCTATATATACTGGGTTAGATTTTAGACTTTAAATTCTTAAATTGAGTAACTCATTTTTATTTTTATCCCTGTATTTACTAAAGCAGATTTGAAATCATTTTAAGAGGTTTGAGTTAAAAAGAAAAATCTTGTCTAAGTTTTAAAACTTACTAAGGATATACTGTACACCGAAACATTAGTAATTCAGTGTAGAAATTGGTAAAGGTGCACTTTGTCGCTTTTATTTATTTTTTATTATTCTGGCATTAGTTACTTAATGGAAATAGATAACACAGAGGAATGCTTGGTGTCAATTAATTTGACATGAGGGTTGTCAAGATGGCTCAGCAGATAAAGGCCCATGATGTGCCACCAAGCTTGACAATTCAACACCTGGAACCTTCATGGTGGGAAGAGAATCCATTCCTGCAAGTTGTCCTCTGACTTTTATATGTGCCGTATAACATGCAACCCAAACATGCAAGATGCATGAAAATGTATTCCTCCTTTTATGGGCACAGCTACATTTAGATTTATACTGGGTAAAATGCAAAGTGCTTATCTGTGGGAGTTTATGTTACAGTTCCCCAGAAGCTTTGCAGATGTGATTCATTTGTAGCTATGGTTTCTTCACGTTCTTGCCTTACTGATGGCTAATGATGCTAACAGAGGCTTTTGGTTATCTACAATGCTTTAGGTGTGACTTCTCTAAAATACTAGCCACTGACTCTCGGCTCTTCTTTGCCTTCTTTGGATAGGCTGCCCTGCAAGTTGGGGGCCATGGAGAAAGGCTGCACCAGTGTCGGGAAGTGATGCTTCTGACTTACAAGTCCATCCCCATGCAAGTAGATGGGGAGCCGTGTAGGTTGGCACCCGCCATGATTCGGATCTCCTTGAGGAATCAGGCCAACATGGTACAGAAGAGCAAGCGGAGAACCTCCATGCCTTTGCTCAATGAGTGAGTCGTGGCTTGCCTTCCTGGGTGACAATGAGACACGGGAAAGCAGGTGGCAGAGCATGTGCATGGTCTGGGGACCTCACTGTGTTGGAAAGGGGAGAGAAGTCAAGAAAGCACCAGAGGCCCTAGACTGCTCTCATGGGAACACGGGCAATCAATTTTACTTTTTATTGGCTAGTTATTTAACCTTCTTTTGGGTAAATTTTGCTGTATGTAAGATAGATGATTTTCCTCCACTGACCACTTAGGAATCTACTGTGCTCAGATGAACTGGTTTTAATTTTTAGTTTGGTTTAGGGAGGTCTGTCACTTACCCCGTGTTGTGTTGCTTTTCTTTCTGTCTGTCAACGAGTGATGCCTTTCCCTCCCTTTCTATTTGGGGTCCCATGACCTCGACTCAGTTTTGCCTTTCAAAACGGCATCTACTGTCCATACTTAATTTGACTCACTGTGTTTACTTTAAACACCCAGTAGCCCGTCCTTCCTATACTTTTTATTTTTTAGGTGTTTTGGTAAGCTGATACAAGGTAAGATAATGAAGAATAGGTAACATAGAACATATTTTTTTTTCTAGTGTCCTTTACTCAAATTGGTATCTTAATTGTCTGTTTGGGATTGGAGAGATAGCTGGAGAGAAAAGAGAGGATTTGGGTCATCTTTTTGAGTACCTTCTAGATATCATGTCATCATGCCTAAGGTCGCTTAAGGGCTTAGTCTTGGGTCATTCTCTGTCACAGTGAGGGACCTCAAAGGTGCACCTCCTGTCTGCTCTCTGTATTGCATGGTTACCTGTCATACTGAATGGCTAGCTTCCTGGCGGTGCCTGCAAGGCAGGGGCATGCTTGGCCATGTGATCATGAAGTCAAGGTGAGAATCTGCACAAGTTCCCAGAATATCTGATGACGCAGGTGCCGCAGCTCCTGTCACCTCTCTCCGTGGCAGCATATGCTCAGGAAGAGCAGCAGACAGCGCTCTCCAGGCACTGCAGCTTCTGGCATCCGCTTCTAAGTTGGAGGCTGGCGTGAGAAGTCCGCTTCCTCTGTTCTTGGAGTCCGGACTTCCTGGAACATTGTCCTGGTTGTGTCCTACAGCTTCCGTTACTCCTTTTACTCTGAGTTGATATTTCTTGCTTTATTTACATTTTGCAGCTGGCAAAACTCTTGGCGCATTGCTGATGCTTTCCGTCCTTGCTGCCTTTTCCTTCTTCTAGGTTGAAGACGAAATTGTTGAGTTTATATGTTAAAGAAAGACAAGATGTCAATGGTTGTACATGGGTCTCCATATGTCTTCTAGAAATGGTAGTCAAACCATGACACCCGGTGTGGTAGAAACCTCAGAACTAAGAAATGGAAAGCTACCTCTGGATTTGTGCAGTGGCTGAGGTGCCTAGGCCACTTAGAGATCATCTATGGAAAAGATAGAATAAAGCTCAATGAGTTTGCTATCACTGAAGTGAAGGGTACGGTCTCATGACCTTCTTAGGCGTAAAACTGTTTTCAAGTGTTCAGTTTCAAACAACTTTTATGCTTCCGTCAAGAAAGAATTTGACTTCTCTAGGTAATCCTGTTGTTCAGAGTTCATTTGGCTTTGTTTATGTGCAAAGTAAATACACATGAGTGTTTTGTTTTGTCCTCATGGCATGTGTGACAGATGACACTTCTTGCAGTTAATTGTATGGGTGGCCAAGAGCAACCTCATTTAAAAAGATGCTGACACTTTCTACTTGGCGTAGTGTTCCCATGGTAACAGCCCCATGTCACACAGGAGACTGTATGCAATGGGAGTCAGAGCACACTATTCATTTTTTTAAAAAAAAGTAACTAAAATTTGGAAAATAAGAGATATTTTATTACTATATATAAAACTAATATTCAACACTGTATTTTAAGGAACTCAATACTGATAATACATTTTCAAAGAAAAAAGAATAAACCTGGTTATCACATCATACCTTTCACTAAGCCTGGCTTTCGCCCTCCTTAATCCTTTTTCATCTCTATAGTTAATTTCTACTTCATTATAAAACACGTCTTTCTCTCTGTTTTTTTTGTAAGATCTAACTTCTTCCTCTGTATTTCCAAGTAGAGTTTCAAGTTTAAAGTCAACCTTGATGTTAGGACTTTTTCTTTAACCTTCTATGCCTTTGAACTTCTCTCTGTCTTGTCTACCATTATATGACAGAAGAGATATTTAAAAACATGTTACTTCTTTATTTCTCTGTCTCCCTTTTTTCCTGCCTACATTGTTTCTCTTTCCTTCCTTGCTTTCTTCTCCTTCCTTCCTTTCTCCCTTTCTTTCTTTCTTTCTTTCTTTCCTGAAACTGTTTCATTTGCTTAATTTGCTTGTATATATTTTTCTTACTAGAAGAGGCAGACAACTGGTTTACAGTGTCATAAATTTTTTTATCTCAAAGGCCAGTGTGTGTGTGTTCATGTGTATGCATATGTACATATATATATATGCAAATGTGTGCATATATGCATGGGTGTGTGTGCTCCCAATGAAGGGATGCTAGCTACTTGGTTCATCTAAGGAACTGGGCTCCTTTCATTCATTTTACCTGGGAACACTTGCTATTTTAATACTGTTGTTCCCTGAAGAACTGCCTCTTCTTCCCTTGAATGCTGCTGTGTCCCACACATCTGCTCTTTCTTTAGGACGTTGAATCTTAGATCTGTGACTTCAGCCTTGACTCTTTTCCCAAACTGAAGACTATTCCTCAAACACTGTAATTGCCAGTCTTTTCCTGAAGAGGTTTTGTGGCCACCTTAGATTACATAGGAAGAACCAGACTCTTAACTCTACTGCCTGTGCATTTCCTCCTGCTCCTGATCCATGTGCATCTGTTCTTCACCCCGTGCTCATTCATGATGCCTCTGGTCCCTGGAGCAGGCTCACTCACCTCCACTCTTCTACACTCAGCAGGTTAGCTAGCACTTTCCTCGAAACCCACCTTCAGCCTGTCACTCAAATCTTTAATGCACACCTTCTCTTCTTATACCAGGGAACTACTAATATGCTCTTGCTACTGATTCAGTTTCTGGCTCACTCCGCTTCCCTTCTTCAGAAAGATGGTTGTTCCTCTCCACCAATTAGAATAGTCTTCCAAAAAGTGTAAAGCCCATGTTCCTTATTTTCAGAATGGTTTTTAGTCTTTGCCATCTTCATCCTGTTCTCCTTTGTCCCCGGGAGCTATCGCCTTTCTTCATAGTCATCATTATTTTGCCCCTGGGTTTTCGTCTCACAATGGCCTCTTCCTCTTCTCATCTGCCAGTCCTGCTCACAGTGCGAAATCCAACTTGTGCATCACTTCCACCAAGTACCATCCTCTAGCTAATTCTAGCAGTTGGCTGTACCTCTTGGTGATGTTCCTATCACATCATCTGTCAATATAGTGCATCCGTCATCTGTGGGCTTCTCCCTGCTCTGCTCTGTGGAGAGGCCTTAGGCTTTTCCTCTCCAGATGCCTGGTACCTGTCATCATCACTGAGACATGAACACATATTGAAGCCATGATGCCCACATGAACTCCATTATACTTCGATTTCTGCTACATTTCTACAAAACTACTAACAAGCTAACAGCTATCTAAAAATTTTACGACTATAGAGGTAATATAGAATGTGTTCTAAGGATGTTTTGTTACAAGATTAGGACAAATATTGAATCATTTATAGGTGGTTACATGGATAATCGGAAGGAGTCTCCATGGGAGACAGCTAAATAGTAAGCCTTCATGATACCACTCTGTCCATATTTATTAAGAAAGGAAAAATACTTTCCAGAAAATAATGCCAACTTTATTAGAATATACAAAATAAAATGTGTTCATTAACTCCATATTGGCAAGGGAGCATACTTTATTGTAACATCTGAATCTACACAGATTATGGAGTCCAGTAAATATTTTCCCCACAAAATGTCAGAGATTTTGTCTAGGTTTTTTTTTTAAAACTAATACTTTGGCAATATGATAGTCAAATACATTTCAGTTATGTTCTGTATTATGAAGCACCATTGAAGGAGGTCAGAAGCTTAAAATAACTGGTGCCTAAGGGAGGTCTTCAGCTGTTACCCTTAACTTCACTAGCAATTGTGAAAGATGGTCGTTTTGCAAAAAGGCAAGAGTTCTAGTTAGCTAATTTTGAATTGGGCATCGGGGTTCCATCATCCTTTGCTATTTATTGGTTTTAACAGAGAGTCTTTGAAGATAATGTGGACAGAACACTGGCATAAACTCGTGGGTGACCTTCTTGGAGAATGTATGTACCAGTAGACAGAGGATGGGGTGGGGGGCTGTTGCTCAGAGAAGTTTAAACAAGAGAGAGGAAGAGGATGATGCAGAAGTGAGAGTGCGTTTGGGGGTTCAGCTTGTTAAACAGTGCAATGCCTACTTTCTAATAGCATGTGTGAGCTCTCCCATCACAAGAGAATGGAGAAAGGGGAGATGTTTATGGTTTCACATCTGTACACAGAATATGGGTGAAATTAAGGCACCTAAGGGATGGAAATGGGATTTTATTTTAAAGGATTGCTGGAGTTCTCAGAAAGTCTCTGCTGTTTAGCTGAAAGAAGCTCAAGGTAGTTGAGCCCCTATTTTCAAGATGGCTCTCTGATGGATCTCAAAGGCAAGGTCCAAGGATGGGACTGACTCGTCTCCTCAAGCAGGAGTCGGTGGTGCTGGCTTCCCACTCTGATGAAGAAGCCTGTGCCTTCGTCCTTGAGTTGTTCTGAATGTCCTGGAGCCAAAGTCCTGTGCCCACAGCCCACCCTCCTGCCTTGGCCCTGTGCTCCAGCTCGTGGCTTGCCTGGAACTAGCTGCTTCCGTGTGTCCTGTTGGCTTCATTGCTATCACTGGCTTCTCTGGATTATTTCCATGGCTGGCTTGGTTTCCTTTTGTTTATTATTTACTTATTTTTTTTCTTTCATCGCTGTTGGTGATGCGCTCATTTAATTTCTGTTTAAACTTTGTATGTCTCTCTTTTTCTCCCCGGCTTGTTCCTTGTTTGTCCACGCTGTCCTGCTGACTCTGTCTTCGCTGCTCATTCCCTGCTGCCTCTAGCATCCATCAGGTGCAAGCTGCGGACCTGCGGCGGGTGTCTGCTCCCCCCGGCTCCTTTACCATGTGAGTACAGTGCCATTCTGTTTTGACACTCTTTCCCTAACTTCTCCTCCTCAGGGGTAGGTCACCTGCGGCATCCTTTTTCTCCACAGGTCTGCTGCTCGGATGAGGGGCCCACCTGATCATAGATGCTTTCAGACCCCCCCCCCCTTTTATGTGATACGGAGCAGCAGAGCTCTTTGTGCTTCGTATGTCCCCACACCCTATGCATTTGCCCTTTCGTCTTTTTCTAAGAGGCTTCAGGGCCCATGGTTGTGTGGATTGGTCTAACAGTCTATACTGAGCATCATCGTTTTTCAGAGTTTGGTAGGACAGTTAGCACATCTCATTATGGATATATCTAAGGAAGTACTCGTGGCCCTAACATTGTGTGTGGAGTTTATTTTTGTGCCAAAGAACCACAGCTGTTATACAATAATGAGTGACCCTGAGCTCTCAACTGAGTTAGCAGAAATTTATTGTTATGCATATTTGGAGGTTTATGCTCAATGTACTCCAGGGTATTTTCATTTTCTGGTGAAACTGAATAAACAAAATGGAAATATTAGTTTTAGGACTTTACTTTAGCACTTTTGGTGCTAAATGCTGATTTGTCTTTCTTCCTTGCCCCATATAATATTTGTCACCTACTGCTTATTATGCTTCAAGTACTATGCTTCGCCTCTGCTAAGTCATTTATCCTCAAGATGATACTATGTATGTGTAATAGCATGCTCTCCTCTGCATACATGTCCACGACCACACTAACAAGTCATAGACGGAGACTAAAACCCAGGCAGTCAAGCTTCCAAACTCATATTGCCTTCTGTCTGTCTGGAGTCTGTGTATTTCTCCAGACCCAGTGGAGTGATCACCTTTTCAAAGAATTCTTCCTTGATTCTTTGCTATCAGAGTCACTCATACCTCGCTGGAGCTCACGGTTGATGAACCTGTTCGAGTTTTTAAAGTTTAATTTTGTTCTCATTACCTGATCTCTCAATGTGTGTATATCCCACACCAGACTTGGCCTACTTGAGGTGATTGGCAATATTGCCCTACAAATCTTTGTGTTCCTGACCTCTTCCCAGAGCATTGGGAAACCAAGCCGTAATTGGGTGGCGGGGTTAATGAGTAGGAACATATGTGTGTATGAGGAACCGTGTGAAGTCCGAAGTCCAGCAGTGCTGCAGAGTACTTCCCAAAGCTTAGTTACCTGATCTTGTCTCATCTTACAGATCCCCATTATTAGAAATATGTGTTAACTGGGGGAATCCTTACAGATCTCCATTTCTTAGAACTGCATATTAACTGAGGAATATTTCTTTTTCCCTGGCTGAGTTCCAGGCACTGTTTTATATTGCAGATCGAGTTAGTGATCAGCATAACCACTTAATACTTGTATGTAGCACAAGCTACAATCGAGCAATCAAAACCCAACAGGGTAATGGTATTTCATGTCCAATCTGCTGACGTTTGCAGGGTAAAATTCTGTAGGCCCCTCAAGAAATGGGTATTGAAAAAAAGTTGGCTGCCAGTGTTCTGATCGCGCTTTTAGGGGCACCTTCTATAGATCAAAGAAATAAGAATGCCAACCACAGAAATGGATGGGAGTGTTTGAATTCCTATCCCCAGCAGGGTTGTTTTGACATTGAATCTTAAGTGGGGCTGTTTATTTTGTACTACAGGAGTGAGTTGCTACGGCGGCATAAATGGTGTTTGTTTCCACGGGTAGAGCAGAAAGTAGGTGTGGCTATTTTTAACACTGTAGCATTAATATGAAAATATTTCACATCTGTGTCTTGCTATTACGGCGTATAGATATTTCAGCTTTGAACAACAGATGGGAATGTTTGTGCAAAAAACACTTAGGACATTTTGGTGGAATATGGAAACCAGTGGTAGAATCTGTCAAATAGAACAAGGACAGGGAGAGAATCCCAAGCACAACCACTCATTTCGTGCCTTTACATCATGAAGCAGCGGTGGCTTAGCCTCTTCTGCCCACCTTATTTGAGAAGCCCAGACATTCTCAGCTTGTTAACGGTGTTGCTTCTGTGCAGGTTATCCAGACCTGGCATCCTGACCTGAGATGGTTTGGTTTTCTGTTTCATCTAGAAACTGTTTCAAACAGATGCTCTTTGAATCTTTGGAGGGGCCTCTCTGCTGCTCCTCAAGCTAACATTGCCTCCGGGAAACGGTCAGAAGTACCTCTTCAGGAAAACATCCTTTTCTCTGGTTTTCTGGTGACTTTTTTTTTTAATGTGTAAGTAGATGAGACATCAATTGTCAGGAGTCATGACATAAAACTCAAATCCAAACACATACAAAATTTCAGCACTATGGAATACTCCTAAGATTTATTTTTATTATTTTAGAATTGTGTGTGCGTGGAGGGGCATGTGCACATGAATGTAGGTACCTATGGAGTTCAGAAGTGGACAACAGGATCCGCTGAAGCTGGAGTTCCAAGCTACCTTGATGTGGGTGGTAGGAATGGAACCGCTATCCTCTACAGAAGCAGTACATGTTCGTAACCTTAGAGCCATCTCTCCAACGCCTAGAATTATGCAATATTTTGATCCTTTATGGCCACCTATGAATTGATGGGTTTTAAGCAAAAGTATTTAACGCTCCATTGGCTAAGTAAGATAACGCTAAGCTGAGAATATTTTTATGCGCACCTTTTACAGTGTAGCTTAAATAATGAATAAGCTTTATGTGATGAAGTACGTTCAAAGGGAAGTAGTCACTGAAGGGCACGTGCCAGCTTCATTTCTTAAATTGTGAAGAATGGTGCTAACCCCTTCAGCCACTTGCTGCAATTTAGCACCTGATAAAAAGCATATGAAACCTCAAAATGGGGCTTTCTGGAATTCTCTCACTCTTTAGTAGCCGCTTTTCACTGGGTTCTATTTCCTTCTTGCTCTTCCGACATGAACGTGAAATCATGTGATGCATTTATATTTGACTCACCATCTTCATCTTTCAACGCTATATCCTTCAGACACCAGATACTCTGGGATATTAAAGACATGGAGATCAAAAAGCTAAGTTCTGCCCTGGGGGGAATGAACACACCAGCAACAGACCTAATTGAGTTGACTACAGTGCAATTACAATTCAACACGGCAGCAAGGAGAGAGATTTGAATTGTATTTCTATGTTGGCAGCTTTTTACTGTGTATTTGTCAGAGCTGATTTTTGTTTTATTAATATTTGAAATGAATATGCTGCAACAGTTTTTCTTCTGGCAAAGTCCCGTGAGTTTTAAAGCAAGTGTGAATTCACATAACTATCATCGTCACCAAGACACAGATTAGTGTGTCACTAATTTTCGTTGCAATCCTGCCCTGTTAACCACCCCATTGTCATCGGTTACTCTTATCACCCAACATCTGATCACCATAGATTTGTGGCCTTGAGAATTCCACCACGGTGGAACCAAAGACTATGTAACCCACTTGAGCTGAACATAACATCTTTGAGATTTATTCAAGTTGTCATACGGATCAGTCATTTGTTGGCTTTTATTTCTGAGCTGCATTCCACTCTGTGACTGTTTCCATTCACCCACTGAAAGATACCTGGGTTCTTGCCAGTTTGAAATGCTTGTTAAGATGGCTCAAACCATTAATGAGTAGATTTTGTATAAACAGAAGTTTTCATTACTTCAGGTTAAATGTCTGGAAATGAGATGGTCAGATCCACATGGCAAGTAGATCTGCTTTTCCTAAGAGAGCAAATGGAAAATTGCTTCCAGAGTGGTTTTGCCATTTTACCTTCCAGCCAGCGATGATGATCGTTCTCATCATGCCCTATTGCTTCTGGCGTTCTGCCGATGGTTGCGCCATCAGTTTTAACTATTAATCTCTGTGGTGGGAGTACGGTTTTGTTTCATGATAGTTTTCGTCTGTTTCCCAAGTGGCTAATCATACTGAACATCTTTCCACATTCTTGTTTGTCATTTACTTATTCACTTTGCAAATGTTCAAGTCTTTTGGTTCTTGGTTGGTTGGATTCTGAGTGGGTATCCTATATTCTAGACTGGCCTCCAACTCACAGTATAACCTAGGATGACCTGGAAACCCTGGGTTCCTACCTCTACATCTTGAGGAGTGCAATTATAGTTGAGTACCAACTGACAGGTTATATTTGATTCTGAGAACTGAACCCAGGGTTTTGTGTTTGTTAAGCAAGTATTCTCTTGACTTAGCTGTGCCCATAGCTCTTTGGTTACTTTTTAATTAGCCGTTTGCTTTCTGTCTGTTGAATTTACTTTTATGCTTACTCTGGATTTCAGGCCTTTCAAATATTCTCTCTGTGTTTTCAATCTTACGATAATTTTCTTTACAGCAAAAAGTTTTAATGATGACTAGGTGATCAGTTGTTTTTCAAACAGTATTTTTATTTATTGTTTGAAGATTTCATACATGTAATCATTGTATTCTGATCACATCCACAACTCAATCCTCTCCTCCCCTTCTAGGCTCCCTTAACACACCTTCCTCCCAAACTACATAGGCTACTCTTTCTTCCCTCCCTCCCAGGGACTGTCTACAAGACAGAATTTTGCTTGCTTATTTCATCCAGTCCTCTGGCTCTTACATTCTCTCCACCCTCTCTTCTGTGGTCTTCCCTGAGTCATGGATTAGGGGGAGTAATTAATACAGATGTCTCATCCACCATTTAGCTATGTTTTTAAACATCTTAATGATATTTGACTGGAATCGTACTGAATCTGTAGGCCAATATAAGAACTATTGGGGTTTTGTTTATTTTGTGTCTTTGTCTTGCTGTAGCTTTGTAATCCTGGAATGATTTTTTTGTCCATCCTTATAGTAGTTGTCAACACACAGATTTGTGCATGTTTTATTGGATTTGTACCTAGTTGTTTCATTTTTGTGTCTATTTTTAATGATAATTTTGGACATTTTAATTTTGTGCTGATTTTCAATTTCTCAGTGATAGTCTATAGAATAACGTGGACTCTTATGCACTGACCTTATATTAATTATATCCTGTGT